CACACCACACCACACCACACCACACCACACCACACCACACCACACACCCCACCAGACCACACACCCCACCAGACCTGAGACTCAAACTCACAACCTTCGGGTTACAAGTCCAACTCTCTAACCATTTGGCCACAACTGCCCCATAGTAAATCCAGGTAATGGTAGCTGAGAGCAGATAACAGAGTGCAGAGTGAGGCTCGCTGAGGATTGTTCCAGGTAGGCCCAACAAAGGAGTTCAGAATTCAAATTATTCCTCCAATATAAATTTTTCTGGCTATTGCAAGCCCAATATTAGTGCAAGAAATTTGGGAGTGCAAGGCCTCCTTTATTTTATTCATAATTTAAATAAACAGCCAAACCCGATACTGCAAAAGTGCACTTGAAGCATTTGTAAACACAGTGACTTATGAATATACTTCAATGGTACAACAGGCAGTCCAGCTAAAATAGCTAGATACCACATTATCTTTCCTCAAAAAAAGGTTCTAAGAATTGAGTTCTGCGTGACTACAAAAAGTGCAGAGATGTATGATGTTATCTCAGCACCCCACCACTGATCTGACCCTTTCATCGTGTTCTTTGGCTCTGTTTGATAGTGGTTCACAGATAACACATTACTCCGCCATCCCTACCTGAAAACTGACAGCTCACTAACAGCATGTGGCCAGTCTGTTTCAGTTTGCCTAGCCTGGAACTTAGATGTCTTTTTGGGCGACCCACAGGCTTTCTGCAGGCTTCATCTCTCTCTTCCTCCGTCTCTCTTTCCTTCTCAGCTCTTGCAAGAAAAGGGGGAAATTGAGCTCTACTCTATCTGGATTCTGACAGGGTGCGCTCTGTGCGGCATTGATTTCTGCAAATTGCCATGAAACTCAACCAGAAGAACTGGCAGTGCAGCTAGCTAGATTTTGTCCAGAGATTATAGACACAAAATGCTCCACAAATATGAGCTATAATTAATTATTAGTTCTAATGAGGTGTCTAAAGACAGAACAATGCATGCAGACAACAAAAGACACATCCGGTAGCTGTTATAGAAATTTATAAAGAAGAGATCTGCAGAGGGGTCAAGTGTGCAAAAAGGAGTCAAATAACTAACATTTCAATAACATGTCAATATAATTTTATGCTTTTGAAATGAGAAATACCCATGCTTACGAGAGAGAAAAACTTTTGTAACATTATAAATGTCTTTGTCACTTTTGATCAATTTAAAACGGCATGCTACATTTTTTTCAGGATACTTTGATGAATAGGTAGTTGTTCATTAGGCAGTCGTGGCTTAATGGTTAGAGAGTCAGACTTGTAACCAAAGACCATGGGTTCAAGTCTCAGTACCATCAGGGATTGTAGGTGGGGGAGTGAATGTACAGCACTCTCTTCCACCCTCAATACCATGAGTTGAGAACAGCAAAAATGGCTGCCCACTGCTTTGTGTGTGTTTGTTCACTACTCACTGCTGTTTGTGCACTTGGATGGGTTAAGTGCAGAGCACTAATTCTGAGTATGGGACACCATACTTGGCTACTCGTCACGTCACTTAAAAAAATAGAAAGTGCTGAATAAAAGGATTAATTTCTTTAAAAAGGAAAATCTTACTAATGTATATGAAAATATTTTAGATTTAGTAATATTTAGATTTAGTATTCATTTTTCACCCTACAAACATTAAT